ACGATTACCGTTGGCCGGCTCTCATAATATTCCTACAGCGAGTGGAGGGTCCTCCCATGAATTGATCGAGATTGGAAACCATGATGCGTTTCGCCCTCGTTTCCCCAAAGGCCTACGCGGTCGATATCGTATAAGACCAGGAGAAGAGACCTACATCAAACGCCGACAATGCGATCCTATGTTTCTAGAGTTGGAACTCTTCCGATTGTCCCGCCGTTCGCTATTTAAACGATTTGCGGGTCGACAAGGAAGAACGGAAATCCACTAACAGCTACATTTTACAAAGCGTTGTAGTTATCTGCCCACCAGGACGACCGCAAATTCTCAAACGTTATTCCGTCCGCTGAGTCATCATCTGGATCTGCATCCAGGTCCGCCACGAGCGAAGTGAGACAATAAACAAGCGAAATCCGTACGTCGGCCGAGAGTGAAATTATATGAAGTGAACGAGGGATAACATTGATAATAATAGAACATTTGCACTTCGCGCCGATCCCGCTGTCGCGTCGCTCGCTCCGGAAGGGCGTCGCGGATGGAAAGCTGAGGTTGCCTTCGACGGTCGTAATATGACGGCGCTCATGCATCTCCAGTCGGAAGTGTGTTTATTTAGGAGACGGGGGACTCGGCCGGGTCAGCTGGATATATACGCGAATGGAGATAGTGCGTCGACGCTCGGACTGGATAGTCGACTTTATGTCGAAGCAATGACATCGTAGAGGGGAACTTCCGGAGACACACAGATAGATGCAGCCACGAACCAGAAGATACAGCAGCCCTTCCACGACCATCACCAAGAGTATCGAATAGCTGACGGCGGAACGAACAGAACTAGATCTGGATGAACCGTACACAGCCACGAGGGATGTCAACACGGAGCATCCCAAAACGATTTCGACCGGCAACTCGCTTAGAACAATCGTGAGAAGCCTTCCCATACGTCAGGGCCGCTGGAACGGATGCCTTGTCGAAAGCGAGGCCCCCGGGTTCCCCCCGAATTCACGAGGGATATCCCCCGGCCAGAGTTCCCCGGAGCCGGGAGATGCGGATCGATCGGAATCTCCCCTGTTCATTCTCGCCCATCGGGGATTCCAGTGATTGACTTGCCGGGTACTAGAGCGGATTTTCATCGATCGGTCGAACATGAATCCACTCGGGAGGAGTGAGCATCGGCCGGACGCGGGTCAGAAAACAATGCAAGCTGACTGTTCCGTCAGATACATGCAGGGTTTCTGTTTCAGGTCGTCGTTCGGCAACAGTTGAACTCTCTGCATCGCTCGATCCTACCGGGCGCGATATTCTGGACTTATATTAATCGAAAGCGGTGGGAGGCTCTTATATGCGACACTTCCCGGAACTCCACCGCCGAATTCCCATTCTCCATGCTCCGAACCATGTAGGATCCGTCACAATCAGCAAATCGGAAAAAAGGCGAAAGGACGAGAGTCCATATACGCTGTTACATACATTCCTGTCGTGGACTTCTTCCTCTCACTTCGTCGGTATCAACCAGCTAGAAGGGAGCAGGGCAGCATCGGCGAGTCGGCCGCGGCTACTACCGCTGGAATATCCCACGGTCCATCGCATCGACCGAAGTCCGTATCGCAGACGAACAGAATGCTCGAGCTAATCCGGTGTTCGCTATTAACTCTATTTGGTCTGAAGTGAGCGACTGAGCTGTGCGGCATTAACGTTCCTGGCGTCAGAAATTCCTCCAGATACCTCGCGTCCGGAGTCAGTTGCGCCAGAGAACCAAGAGATTTTCTGTTACGCAAAACTTAATCAAAGCTCTCCACAATTCCCTGACCGTGTCGACCGAGAAAAATAATAATAAGACCGAATAAGTTCATAACGATCTCCGTTCGGCGGGCGTTACGCGTCCCGCGAATGAACGAGCCAAATGAGTTCGAAAGAGAGCCTGAATATCAAGCAGCTGATCCAGGTCTTGAGACGACCGGGAGATTTGAAAGACTTCCTCCACATCCGACGGGAGCCGCAAGTTTGTTTCTGTGGAGTTTTATATCCGCGCTCATCGAAGAGCATCTACATCCGTCCGACTCGAAGGTCACGCATTATTGCGAGATTTCGTTTCAGACTGTTTCTCGACGCTGGAGGACGGCTCCCTTCGAGCCTGTTATCCACGATGACAGGAATGAGGTAGTGAGAGCGCCCGATCCGGTGACGCTGTCAGAAGCACGAGACCCGAGGAGGCGCGCGATCTCCCGGGTGAGCAGAAATTAGCGCCGCTCACTGGGTGCTTTCTAGTTTCTTCTCCTTCGCCAGATACCCGCTGTTTTCCACCCTCATGTCGAGCTGCAGACCATCATCGAGCCGAAGGATTAGTCATCTTGAGGAGAACTCACCAGCTCTTAAAGACGATCCAGTTTCGAATGTTTGGGCTCTCCATGCATGCTTGACTTGTAACTACCGGTGCACCATTAACGAAATTCCAGTCGGGCGTAACGAGCACCACCTGAAGCTACACTGGAGGCACGCATTCCCAAACAGGAGCACGGGAAGAACACAGCGATAGTTTTGGGAGTAACTTGATCACGCTTTGAGGCGCAACGGCGGAGAGAAGACTCTTCTCGGCGGAGCTGTGGCGCTGCTGGTGACGACCTCTTATCCGCGTGGATGAAGGACGCCGGGAATCGAGTGCTTCTTCAAAAACGAACTTCGCCAGGCGAAGAGTTCCGTCCGCCGTTTTTCCTATCAATCTGGCATATCCTAGACACAACGGCAGAGCGGGATTTCTGGACGTCTGCATCATCGACTTTCCGCTTCTCTTTCCACGCAGCGGAGAAAGGGTCTTTCGCTGCCGTCACTCACAGCCGGCCAACCGAACCGGGATGCGAGCGAAGCGCTTTCTTAAGAGATCAAATTCATTTGCTATACTATCCCGTGCGCCTTCCTTGAATTCAGAGCTGGGCGATCGCTAGTTCAATACTCCACGCTCCCGACGGATCCGGAGTCGGATGTCGTGTCGTGACTCTTCTACGGAGCGCACAGGGACAAGCCCGAATCTATGCAACAGGCTCTCTGATGCGGGCGAGCCCGGAAATTATCCTATTCGAGTTTCTGATTGTTTTTCGGATTTTCGAGAAACTGGTCGTGAGGGCGGCGACTCCAACAACGAATTGCGCTTGATCGCATCGACAATCTCCCGATAGGAACTCCGGGGCATCGGATTCCCACGAGAACGGGTAAATTCTCGGTTTTGGATATTTCGGTACGAGGTTGCTCAAAGGTCGTCAGTCCCTCTTTATCAAGCGGCGCCGCCACGAGAGATAGATAGAATGATCTAACGGGCGATTTTTCTTGACGCTTTGTTGTGATGCTAATGATGCCGTAGTTCGAATCGAGATCTATAGAACAAGCCTCTCTCAGGGGCGAGAATCGCAGGCTATTAATTTGCTCTCCCGATAGTGGAACGTAGATAAACGATTTTCGCCACGTCAGGCATCTGCAAATCCACTACTCCCTAGCAGAACCACGATTTCGGCATCTGTTCTGAGAGATACGATTGCGGATTGACAGTTGACCAGAATCTCGCTCGACGCTTCAAATGAAAAACCTGCAACTGCCCGGAACTCTCGATTCGCTCTCAGAGCGTTGCAAATCAGAGACTCCTATCGTTGCTTCCCAAGATCGAACGCGGCTCTGCAGATCACCCGTCAGAGTTGGGGTTCGCCACAAGCCTCAAGGCACATACAGGGAGGGCAGAAGCTAAATAGACGGATGCACGATATCGACGGCTTTCGTTGCGTCGCGCAAACCGAGACTCGGAACGATACGCATGCAGTCCGGCGAGGGGGCGTGATGAGGCTCCCGAATGCGTTACATTTCTGCAGTATTCCGCCAATAATCGTCTGTCACAAGCTGCGCAGCATGTTGACGAGTCGTTTAGCGAAGCTTCGGTCTGTTCTGATCACGTTCTTGCCGAGATCATACGAACAAACTCCGTTTTAGAGGTTACGTCTCGTTATTCTCTAGTCTTTTTGACGTTACGTCATGACATATCATGAGGAATGAACCAGCGATTCAACAAGCGAGTAAGTTATAACGTTCTTTCGTTGTTGTCGATCCGCCTTTTGAATGAAAGTGACACGTTTTGAATAACTCAACACTCCTCGGACGTGCTTAGCGAACACAATGACTCTATTCAGGTTCGCTATCCGCAAGCGTCGGGATTAAGCTCAGCTCTCTCCCTGAATTGAAACTGGCGGGCTCGATACGCATCCAGAATAAGCGGGCGCGACTGACTGAGTATTCTCCGCTACATTTTTGGCTGTATGCTCTTTCATCTAAAGGGTCCGATCTAAGGACATTGGATAATTTCAGCGTCGAAACAAACCTGAAGCTTCTAGCTTCCACTGGGGATCAACAACAAAATCGAGAATCCCAAGAAACTTTCTTTCTGATGTTTAGACGAGCCGAAATCGAACGAAGCAGATGCGCACCCTTCACGAAGTTCTCAAGCCCTTCGCGGAGCCTCAGGGACAAAGCCTGAGAGAACTCTCAGAAGCAGTTATAGAACAAAACGAAGGTATCCGGTGAAAGGAACATTAGCAGAACTCCGCTCTTGTCAGCATCAGGAGCCCGCTCGCTCAATTTTCCGGTCCATTCTTCTCCGTGAGGCTTGATTCCTTCTGAATTATTTCTCATACAAAAAATCCCAAATTTCACTGGAAGGTTGCTCGGCTCGGGAAGTTGGCGTCGATCCACGTCAAATATCGCCACGCGTTTATCTCAGGTAGGTGGTAAATAACTAATTGGTTCGGTCAAATACCGCGCTCACTAAAGAGACACCCGGTGCCAATAGCCCCAGGAAACGATTTTTCATTCCTTCTTGATGAGGTTCGCACGCGTCGTCTGCGGAGGTAAATTCCCTATTGCTCCGAGGACCGAATCAACGTCGAACTTTGTCGCTCATTGCAACTCTTGAACATCGAATCGAACGGATGGTCACCGACAATCTATCCGATACGCCTGGCACTACTCACCTCAGCATGGAATTCGATGCGCTGCCGCACAAAAACAGAGCGTTCACGTAGTCGGGTTCCGAGCAGACACTGGCCTCGTACCCGGAATCTTTTGTCAACTTTCGTTGAGGATTCGCTTGCGTTTTTCGCAGAGGACTTCCGCCGGTTTGGCCATCATCGAGATCGTTGGACGTTCGTTGGGGGCTGCAATGGAACACTCCTATGAAGGCCGTGGTTGAGGGTGGAATTCATGTTTGAGAGCTCAGGGAACAATTCGAGAGCAGAGAGTGCTAGATGGCCAAGAACAGATGAAAACAGCAGACTCGCCAAAGAGAGTCGAGGGGAAACTCACAATCGCTGCTTCCTGATCGAGTCCGATGCGGCCGAGTTATTCTCTTGGAAATCCAATCCGTATTCTAGTTCTTGACTGAAAGGGATGAAAAATCGCGCTACTTAGGAATGCTCGTAGAGCGCTCCGGAGCGGCGAATCAGCGTCAAGTCAACTTCGGATGAGACCAGCATTCATGGATCGACGACGGTGAACGGGCATCACTTATACTCTTAGCGTCCACACACAGCTCCCTTCTGGCTCTGAATCGACGGGAGGATGAGGATGGAATCCGATGGAGGAACGGATTGGAACAGTCGAATTCGAGAGCGTCTTGAGTTGTTCTCGATCATGATGCCAAGAAGGAGAGGGGCGGGAGCGAGAAATGATTGTTCGGAGAGCGGAGATTCCCGGAGGGGTCGTGACAGCCCGCGATCCCCTCTGTGAGTGAGTCACTGAATATTTTACGCAGACGCGGAACAGGGTCGATCATTGCTAGGGCTGAAGATTCTTTGCGGACCGCTATTTTTCCGCGAATATTCGCGGGAATTTCCGGCTGCTTCTCGTAGAGTTTCAATGGAGGCAGCGAATTTCCGCGAATTTAGCGGTTTTCCGCGAAAGATCTTCAGCCCCAATCATTGCTTAAGCAGCCCTTGATTCTATGGAAATCTGATCGATGCGGCACTTCTGAACTTTTCCGATTCCCCCGTGACCCCTTCTCTCCGCGATACTCCGGAGTTTTCGGCAGCAATGATCGCAATCTATTACCTGACTTTATCGATGCACAATATTGTTCTTGTCTCCTCTTGAACAGCCAGCGGAGGTGTTTTATTGAGCGCGGGTTCGGCTGTGCTGAGCACATGGTCGCCCGGTCGTGACTTCGAAGAATGTCTTCGCACAACTTGCCTCGATGCGTCCGACACTGTTGAATAAAAGCATTCGTAAGCTCTCAAATCACTGAATCGATTCGGTCGGGTCAGGTGTTGGGAATCCGCTCCAATTGATTCGAATAAAGCACTTCAGTCCATTCGCTCACGTCGATCATTACCTGCCAGAAGAGCCGAACTTTGAGCTTTGCGTGTCCGAGAAAGGTCTCGATGGCTCCCCCATTCTCTGCGCAGAACGTCGTCCCCAAGTCCCTTCCGTCCTTTGGGCAGGTCATCGATGAGAACCTGGAACACAGATTTTATTCAATTTTACTCTTCTGACGATCCCAGAAGACTGGGCTGACGAAGAATCCGTTCCGGAATCCGGCGGGCGGCTTGATTCGAACTACTCCCGAAGATTTCTCTTTCGCATGGAACTAATCGCTGATCGATAATGGGGATCCAGATCTTCGGAAAACCGAATTTGCGATAAAAATCAATCGCAATATAATTGTTCTCATTGATGAGCCGTCACAAATGCTGATAAAGGCAAATGAACGGCTGGATCCGGAGGAGATGCAGTCCACCGATATCGCTCGAAGCGAAGAATCCGAGCAGAGCAGAACATGTGGCGTGAGTTACTGAACGAGAGTGCGTGCGTGCTCGCGCGCGTCTTTGCAGGTACTCACGGAAACGGACGTCGACTGTGCGTGCTTGTGGCTCCGATGACGAAGACTCTGTCTAAGAGAGTTGGCTCGCGACCATAGCGACGACGCTGATGCGTTCCGCTCTTTTTCGCCACGTTCCTTTTCTTTCTCCGACCTGAAAAACAGAATAAAACGAACCGTTTAGCATACGCAGTGATGATCCCGCTCATCCATCGGGAAGCAGGAATTATGAGCAGTGAACTGCGGTGTTCGGACACCGGGTTGAACGACAGGCGACGTTCAAGCGTAAGCTGTCCGTTGAAAACTCGACCGTAAGATCCCGGAGCGTCGGTCGCGGGTCGATCGACTCTCCCATACTAGAACCCTGGCGTTCTGATCTAAGTTCTCATCGCTGGGAGGATTCCTCGGTAGCTCACAGATTTCCGGTGTGTGCCAGCATTATCTCGCCAAAACCGAACATAAGCACTTTCGGAGTGACTTCTCGATTCGCACGATCGAAACCCCTCGCTTACGGCGGGAATGCTCCGGTACAGGCGGGTCCACGGGCCGTTGCCACGGAGGCTTTCATGAGAGAGTTTGTTCCCGAATTTCTGAGACAGAAATAGCGATTCGATATGTCTGTCCAGTTCGGCCGTCCGTTTACCTGTCCGTTTGGATCACTAACAGACTAGCCCGTTCATCGACGGTCTGGCGAGCGCTGGCGGACCGCTCTTCATGCGTGAACCCACAGCTGAAGCGACAGATGTGTCGCGAATGGATATTCAGAAACTCAGCGCGGGAGTGTCTCCCTCCCGATGAATCGGGGGGAACAGCTCGGAAATCCAAATCGACCTCGAGACACTGGCGAGTATCCCGAAATTTTCCACTGTCTTGACACATCAGATAGTTCGTCAAGAGCAGTGGCGGA